CTTCTTCCAAAATATCATGTAGAAAAGTATTATTTACATCAAATTGTTGAAACTGCCAATTGTAATTTGCAGCAAATGATAACAAAATCAGAACAGGAAGATAAAGCTTAACAAAATGATAATAATGGGGGGCAAAAAAGATGAACTAACAAACTTTACAGTTTTTCTGAGCTCACCATCTCAAATATATCCAAGCATTAAGAACTTTCAAGTTGAAATTAAAAATCAGAACAGGAAGATAAAGCTTAACAATAAATAAATGCCTTGCAACTAACTCTACAGCTTCAGTCCAATACCATCTGGATAATACATGTTATTCCATTCTCCACAAATTTAAACTAACATGCATAAAAAAATAAAAAAATAAAAAAGAAACAATGGAAACTTATGTACAATCTCACCCTTTATGAAGTCCTCTGGAGCCTTCTGTACGCAGAACCTGAAACCATGAATGCAAATACATTGGAAAGAACATCAGTTGTGTATTTATGGGTGAAAGGTCCACCACGTGTTATAAATTTTAAATAAAACAAATGTTTAAGACATAGCATGACTTGGAAATAAACTTTGTCAAACCTTTAGAGGCCATATCAACCAACATCTAAAATGAGGTTAAATCTATAATCTCTAACCTCCAACACCCCCAAAGAAGTAAAGGCCCCAGAAAATGACATACTGATTCTTAGCAATTCTCTTTTGATTTTGGTAGAAGCTCTCAGCAATGCCACTATGTCCAACCTCAGTTCTTATGGTTAAAACAAGTAGAATATCCAACAAGCCCCAGTGTATTAGCATGTAACAAACAAATGTGTAAATGAGATAGTAGAAAACCTCGACAACAACAAGAGACCAAACTTGGTAGGTTAGAAATTGGGAAAACTTCAATACAACAAGGCATAAATTCTGGACACTATGAACCAGACTATAAGCATATTATAAGAAGAAGAGCAGAGGAGCATTAGATTTCTTGTTCTCTTAGGGTATTGAAGGCAACATTATGGTCACAACATCAATGCTATATAGCTCTAGCGAGCAAAAAAAAATGTATTTAATTGCAGCACCAAAAGAAACTAATAAAAGAGACTTGGAAGTACAAAAGAGAAATTTGAAGTGAAAAAATGAACAATTCAAAGAACAATGATGGAGGGAATACATGAAAAGGCACATAAAGTAAAACCAATTCAATACCTGATATGCACAATGAAATCCATTTTTATAGCTTCCAACACTTTCTCATTGCAACATAAGACGGGTTTTAACCATCTCAATGGTTGCTGTAATTAGGGTGCTCACCATGCTAGCAATTGTACTTGCACTTCAAGAGATGCAAAAAACCCAGGAAAAAATAATGGCAAAAAGAAAAGCTTTCACCAACATAATGGCACATTCTAAAACATTAAGCTGATAGTTAAAGTATCAAATTTAAACCCTTGTTCTTGTCTCTAAAACCAAATATTTCCTTGAGTTAAATTATTTACTATTTCCAGATGTTTATTTTTTATTACAAGTTTCAAGTTCATCCATAACTTGTCAACTTTAACGATTTATATAATAAGGCCAAGAAGAGAGAAAACCTATGAGCAGTGTCATACGTGAGATGCAGATAGAATCCTTCTTCAAGAAGTGTCCATTTCACCAATATTTGCATTAATAGAATTTTAGAAAGATTTAAAAATGGAAAAGAAATATGAAACAGACACTCTAGCTAGATGATAAATCAAACATGAAATAAATCATCCAAAAACTTTGAAAATTACTTCGTGGATATTTAAACTGAAAAACAGTATGCTTAGAAATTGACCTGCTTGGATTCATCATATGTTGCAAGCTGTGAAGCAGTCAAAGCAGCAGCTCTAGCTGTTGCAGGGCCAACACCCTTCCAAAGAGCACCTATTCCCTCTTTGGAGACAATGCTGCATATTTCTGCAATTGGCCCTCTTTGTCTTAAATCTCTTTTCATCTGTAATCGCACCTGATGATAGAAAACTATTTCTTAGATCCACAATGACCTTAAAAGATCAGAATATGTAACGTTGTAACACTAACTTCTGAACTTCCACAGGATTGGTCATGGCAATTGAAATGGCACCAACAAATGCTCTGGATGCAACCCTGACCAAGATGTTGGTGGAATCAAATGCCCATTCACAGGCATATTTTGATGGTTCATACAAGCCTAGACGGAGACTTCCATATAGAAGAGGCCTGGTCAATGGTGGCATCAATCCAGATACAGAGACTTTGGTCCTTCATTTTTCAATACTTGAATGAACAATGGTCCCTGCTTACGTCCATATAAATAATGAATTCAACTCAATTGAATCGGATAAACTAGATAATCATCATCAGGAAACTAAGCTGAGAGCGTTGGTCAAATACCTTTCCAATCAAAGGACCCCTCTGACCAACATGCTGCCTTTGGGGCCTAGCTTTAAGCACATCTGTGCTACGAGCATAGATAAATCAATTAGCTATAGATTCAACAAAGCCAAAATGATTCCTACTTCAAGAAATTTCATTTCATATGCCATTTTATGCATTCTTGTAAGTTTATGTTTTAATTTTAACTTAATTCCTCTTAAAATGGTATACTATAAACATTTTAACTTAAATGCATTCTGTACTTCATGTTTGAAACTTAAAAAGGAAAACCTTTCCTTCAAGTTCAGACTCTGTGTTTACTGATCATTCTCAATAATTAACAAAAAAAAAAAAAAGCAAAAAAAGACTATTTCCTTTTACAGTCATTAACTTTAAAAAAAAAAAAAACTAACTAACAGACGGCACTATCCGCAATCCCTCATAATAGCATTCAAACCATGCTTGAAATGCAAATTGGAGACCTCTCAATTACGTAAATGTCATACTCATTCCCAATCATAGCTTAGACAAACTTTCCATCAATTTTAAAATTCTCACTTAAACAACATTATTAAGTGCCACAGCGCAATGCACCAAGAACCAGATTTGGTTGATTCATTAGTTTTTTTTTTTTTTTTTGGGGGGGGGGGTTAAAAAGGCGAGATTAATCATTACTTGAAAAAATCAAGTTAAAGAAAAAAAAAAGGGAGCCTAGAGGATGTGTAAGGCCGTTGGCAACTGCAACGGAGATTCCACTGGTACCAAAGTGATAAAGGGCACCCGACGAAGACATTGCTCAACTCTGCTTCCGGTTAACTTTAACGGTCCCTGTCATGGAAAATCAAAATCTCAAAATATCATTCACATTTTCCTTGACTTTCATTTCGTTTTCTTGGTAACCAAAAAGAAGAGAAGAAGATGTGAGGAGACTTGAAACCGACCTGAAAATAAAGGAATTTCGAGAAGCCGAATTGCCATCCATTTATGTTTTTGTGTTTCCCACTTTCTTCCGATATTTTGGTTTTCTGGGAAAAATGTGCGGTATGAATGGCGTTTCCGATGGGAGAGGGATTCTGTTATGGAGTTTGTGTCTTAATGGTCGGTGGAAACGGCGCCGTCTTCTTTGAGCGTTTTTGGTTTGTAATTGTGATTGGCGTGCCAAAAAGTACAAATTGGGCTGCGGATTGCGATTGGTAGCCGTTGCCTGCCTGCATGGGTTTGGGGAAAAGGATGGATAATTGAATTTGATTTTTTTTTTTTTTGTTACATAAAGCAAAATCTTAGTATAAGTAACAAGGGAGGGACAAATTCAGTTAGAAGTCATGTCTTTAATATTTATCATTAGGTTAAAGACTTGAAGACAATTAAAAGAATGATCTCAACTCAATATTTGTCTTTGCATGATCGCTATTCACTACCAATTGATAATAGGACGATAAATCTATCCAAAATCGTTGGATTTTCATCCGATCGGATGTTATAAAATATTTTTTTAAATCAAATTTTAAATCAAGTAGAGTGGATTTAGGTAAATTCATCATGATTTGATTTGATATATATAAAATATATATTTTATTATTTATTTAAATTTAATTTTATATATTTTATTTTAATAAAATTATTATTTAATATTTTAATTTAAAATATTAACTTAATAAAATATTATATTTATATATAATTAAAATATAATTTATATTAAATAATATTTTATAAATATTATATTAAATTTGGTTTATTAAATTAATTTTAAATCAAATTAATTATAATTTTATATATTTACAAATCAAATATAAAAAATAATATTTTCATATTAAATCAAATATAAATTTTATAAAATGAGGTTGGAGTTGAGCAAAAATTCATCCTATGTCGACCCAACCCATTATAATCCATAATTACAAACCAATTTTATTTTTGGTAGACCAATCAAAATTACAAATCAAATTATCCTTCATTGAAAATTATAATTAAAAAAAAATAGCTGACAGCCATGATTTATTATTAAAATGTTAAAATATTAATTTTAATGATCACAATTTAATTTTTATGATTTTAAAAATATTAAAAATAAAATTCACTTAAAATATGTTTATTAAAAAGAAATAAATATTTAAAATTATTCTTAAATAAAATAAAATTAAAAAGGAATATAATCATCACACATAACAATTAATGAATATAATGCATATAAAAATAATAAAATTGAAGATTTGATTTAGTAATAAATTAATTTATGAAAAATTATCTTGATAATAAAAATTTTTAATTATATAAATAAAATTAAATGATAATATATGTTTTCAGTGTATATTTAAAAAAATTAATTAAAAAAAATGAGACATGTCTTTTGAAACTCTTGTTAATATATCAAATAATTTTTTAATTTATTTCTTATTTAAAGATTTAAATTTGATTTTTTTAAAAATTATGCTTGCTAAAAATAAAATACAAATAACTGCATCAAAGTTTATTATAGTAGTTTAACTTATTTGTATTGATTTAAAAATATGAACACAAATCAAATTTTGAGTGATTAGTTAGTTAAAATGATTTTATTTAAAAAAAAAAAATAGAAGTATTAACAGCAAAACTGCCGTACTTTATAAATAACGTTCCTAATTTATTAACCGTCGTATGTGATGACCAATTAGCCAATCCTGTCCGTCAGATATTTCATCACGATTCCTAGGACCCTCAATTACAGATCGTATAAATCCACGCACTAATCAAATTTTCTAGAACGCAGGCAAAATCCGATTTTCTTTGTTTTTGTTGTTCCTTGTCTTTGAGCTAGGGTTTTGGTTTTTTGCTCTATACAGCGGTCAGGTGCGCGCTTTCCTCTCTAGCGTTTATGATCTGCAATCAGCTTCGATTCTGAGTTTCTCACAGCCATGCCTCGGTAAGGATCTTTACCAATTTATTTAATCTTAAAAGAAATTAGCATTATCACTCGGAAACTTTTTTATTAACATTTTATGTGTATGTCTATTTGGATTCAATTTGCAGTTATTATTGTGATTATTGCGACACTTATTTGACTCACGACTCTGTAAGTTTTCTGATTCTGTAGTGTATTTTTTTTCCTTTTATCTGTTTATGTTTAATATAATTCTTTCATATTTAGTTTCTAAACAGGTTTTTTTTTTTAAATTTCGAAAATTAATTATGGTTTATTAGTTTGCTTGTTTCATTTAGAGAAATTGCTGAAAAATTATTTTATTGGGTTAAATTTCAGCCATCGGTTAGAAAACAACACAATGCAGGTTACAAACACAAGGTAATTAAAGAGATTTTTCTCTTTGTATTTTATTTAGTTATTTATCTTGTGAATTGTACATTTTTGCTCATTCTTTGTGTAATTTTAGGCAAATGTTAGAACGTACTATCAGCAATTTGAGGAGCAACAGACCCAGAGCTTAATTGACCAAAGGATCAAGGAACATCTTGGTCAAGCTGCAGCTTTCCAGCAGGTTGGAGCTGCTTTTAATCAACATCTAATGGCTCAGAGGCCCCGACTTCCTGTTCTTCCAACACCTGTTATGCCTATTCCAGGGGGTGCACCATTACCCGTAAATCAACCAATGATCCCAGGGATGAGGCCCCCTGTTCTGCCAAGACCAGTTCCAGGTGCTCCAGGTAAGATTCTGATCATCTATATTATTCTTGTTGTTGCTAATATGAGGTTTGGGTATTTGGTTGATATATGTATACTCGATCACGAATTTATGTGGTGATAGTGAACTTAAAGAATTTTCTTTTGTGTACATGTTACCATAAAGCTGTTGTTTTATATGGCGAATACCTTGTTTCATTTATTCTGTCATCTTTCAATCAAGGCATTGGCTTTTCCATTCTAGATCTCAATTGCACTTTTAGGATGGAATTGATTTTTTTTTTTTCTTTTTGGTGACATTGCCAGGTTATGTTCCTGTTCAAGGCATGCCACCAATGGTGGGACCACCAGGTGCTCCTTCCTTGTCTGGTCAAGTAAATGGCCTTCCGCTGCCTCCTACACTGGCTCCACCGTTGACAGTTCCTGGAACTGCAACAACACCTACTTCTTCTAATGGAGCACCCACCATGGCTATGTCTGCACCATATCAGACCAATCCTGCAGTCCCAACAAGTGGAGGGTTTGACAATTTCAATGCCAATGCACGGCCCTCTGAAGCTAATCATTAATCTGTTTAAACTTGCAAGCTTTGCTTCCATATTTAAAGTAAGAGCTTAAATAAGCACATGTATGCTATTGAACATGAAGCTTTCCAATGATTAAGGGTGATGGTAATATTTTTTAGGAGGATAGCTTGATATTAGATTTGAAGCATTGATAATTTTATAAAAGACGAAAAGAAGTAGACTCATTTTGCTTTGACGTTTTTTTTTTTTTATGGCAAATTTGTCTTCTGGGAAGCATATAAACTTTGCAAAAGAATATCTGGCTTCAAATTGTTTTAGGCCAATGCAGAAATTCAAAGTTAAGCCAACAGGTTTATCACTTCACTATTTGGGATTTTGCATTGGTTTGGTTAACATGATTTGAATTGTGCCAAAATAATGTAAATATGTCACCATTCGCCATTTGGGATTACGATGATTGTTTTTGCCCCCTTTTTATGATTTCATTTTTCTCACAATGAGGGATCCTACCTTATAGTTTTGAAACTAGACCTAATGAATGAAGATTCTGTGTCTCTTTGATAACTTTTACCATGACCATAATATTTTTACAGGCAATCAGAGCCAACTGGCATTTCTCGAGTCTGATGATGAGTTTTCATTCAAACTTCGGTTTGGTGTTTTTTACAGTGTAAATTGCATCAAGTTGTTTGATGCTAAATGGAAAATGTGGTTAGATTTTGATTGCAATGCAGTTGAAAGTTGCTGTTACCCCACAGGTCTGGAGCTTCTCTTATATGTGCTATTTGTAAAGAAATGAATATAACTAGCTGCCTCTTGATGATTTGATATTTATGCAGCCTCGTCATATTTTTATGTAGTAATGGGAGCTTCTCCAGTTCTACTTTTTCCAGGCACCACAAATCATTATTACCATATAATGCTCATGCTTGAGGACTCTTTTGAGGAGCTGTAATTGCCGCATCTCGTTGCTCATTCTAGCAGTTGGATGTCATCTCATGCTCTGGCTGACTAATTTCAGTTACCCTTGTAATCAAGAGGAAAAAAAAAACCATTAGATCAACTCCTATCAAATTATCAGGGCATATTTTTCTAATCATGATCAATTCTTTTTGATCAAATTTTGAGGCTTTTCTTACATATTAACAAAAATCTCCCAAATTAAACAGGAAAGCAAGCAAAAATAAAAATATTAAAAGAAAAAAAAAGATTATAGGACGGGGACTGAGACACAAAGATAAGAATGTCGGTAAGGTTGTGATATCATCCGTTCAATTTCCTGGGACCTCCGTTTAGTGCTGGATTTTCTCTGTGATGGATAATCATTTGCTGGAAGATTGATTTAGACGTCTTATAAATAGGTTTCCCTTCCCTGAGGACGGAAATCGACGAGGGCAATTTGTCTAGGTGTGCGTTTCTCAATTAGGTCCTCGATTAGGTACCCAAGTTTAAGATCTCGAAATTCTCTCTATTAGGCAAAATTTTTTTTCTTTTACAATTTTAAACCCTGTTCCGCTTTCTCTGATCACTCTGTCTAAAAGCAAAAAAAATATAGCGAATGAAATTTGAATTATTTTATTCCAAGTGGCATCCATGCCCTCTCTTTCCGAAGTTGAAAGACGAAGATGCCCCGGTACCGTACTCGTGTCCGTCGTTGCTGTCACTTAGACTGCGCCATGCCAAAAAGGGTATACCTTCAATTACAACCATCAAAGTAAGGGGCGTTCCGAGAATCGAACTCGGGACCTCTCGCACCCAAAGCGAGAATCATACCACTAGACCAAACGCCCAGTCGGCAGTCGAGGGGAAATTTTTATAGTATATAGAAAGCTCTGAAGACAATTTATTAATTAAATTATTGCAGATTTGCAGTAAGGAAAGTAGTTAAAAGTCTCATAAAATTACGTAACTAATTTTATGAGTAACTTGATTCCTTTACGTTGAAGTTTCAACCAAAAAGAAAATGCCCTTCTAGCTTGTTCACCAAAGGCGCTTTACTGGCAAAGATATTTTCTTCTGTCATGTTAGGAAAGTCAAATACGCTAAAGATAACAGTTGACGAGTCCCAATGACAAGATTACCCTAGCAACTTTACTAAGCCTTTCTGTTCATTTATGATTATATCATAGGTAAAATCAAGTGAATTTGGTTCAATCAATGATACATTTTTGCGACAATTTATAGCGATATCTTTCTTCTCTGTCTCTTTTGTTAGTGGCCCTGATTTGGCAGAAACTCAAAATGGTTTACCCATCTTCCCTCTCACTCTCTCTCCCTCTTTCCTTTCTCAAACGCCATAGCACGTTCAGGATTGGATTAAGGTTTGTCTCTTTTTTTTTTTTTTTTAAAGTGTATGGGTCTTCTTCTTTTGCAGTTCCGAGTCATTTTTGATTTACAGGCAGCTCCTGTGTTTGCACAGCTCCTTCATCTGTTGCACTGTTTTTTTCTGGGATTCTTTTCCTCTTTTATTTTCTAGTGTAAATGTACAGCTTATTTTTTGTTTTGCTATTGTGAAAACAGCAGAAATGTCTTCATATCTAGAGCTTCACTTGCTCAGAGCTTTTTAAACAGGGAACTGTCGACACAAACTGGAAGGTATGTCAATGTTCTCAACTCTCAAATCTCAATCCTTCTTTTTCTTTTTATTCCAATTATTGGTTGTTATACTCTTATATTATTGCATTTTCATTATTTTACCAGCTAAATATAAATTATTTAGTAGAGATCTAATGATCCAGACACAAGCTCTGGAAGATGCCATCAGACGGGAGGGACTATGCCCTTCTAAAATATTTGACTAGTTCTTTGTCGGCCTAATAAATATATATATATATATTTCTTATATTTACAATTCATAGAAAAAGTACAAAAATGAATTAGACAATCATTTTTAATTAAAAAAAAAACTTTAATTTGTAGTGCATCATATTGAAATGAACGTACTTACAGAGTTTAAAGCCGTTACAACTTACAGAGTTATGGAAAGGCCTGAGGTGAAGGTCCAACCTAACTGCCAACTCCCTCGGCCTTTGCGTCTGGATTCGAGTTGGGCAATGTGTGCCAGTATGCCAGTTTTATAATGTATAAACATTTTAATTTTTATAAATTAGTTTGATCATAAAATAAATAATCAAAGGCCTACTAAGTTTTCAATTTGAACCCATAAAAAATGGTTTTCTATGTAGTTTAGTAGTTCAATTATATTGAAAACCCAAATAGCTTTAATTATCATAATAGATAAATGTGGGCCGTGTCTTAAATTGCTATTTTTTTCTAGTAATACCCGCCTTTTTGGGCTTGAATTGGGAATTCCCATTAGACTTTTACAGTGATTTGTTTAACTAATTAAAGAATGCACGTCTAAGCTTTGAAGATACCGATGGAAAGATAGCATTTGTACATCTTCTTTGAATTTCTACTACATATAAGCTACAGTATTTAGTTTGTTAGGTTGCTGTAATTAAAATATTTCATTCTTTGTATACTGCTATCAAAGCAAGCTAGAGGGCAAAGTAGCATTAATCACCGGGGCAGCAAGCGGTATTGGCAAGGCAACTGCAGCAAAATTCATTAGTAATGGTGCCAAAGTTGTCATTGCTGATATTCAACACCAACTTGGGCAAGAAATAGTGAAAGAACTTGGACCCAATGCCACTTTTATTCCCTGTGATGTAACAAAAGAATCAGATATCTCTGATGCTGTTGATTTTACCCTCTCCAAACATAAACAACTGGATGTTATGTACAATAATGCTGGGGTACCTTGCCATACTCCTCCTAGCATTGTTGACCTTGACCTTGCTGCTTTTGATAGAGTCATAGCCATAAATGTGAGAGGAGTCTTGGCTGGGATCAAACACGCCTCACGTGTGATGATCCCCTGTAGAACTGGCTCCATTCTGTGCACAGCTAGTGTCGCAGGAATGATGGGTGGACTAGCTCAACATACTTACAGCGCGTCCAAGGCTGCTGTTATTGGAATTGTTAAGTCCATGGCGACAGAGCTATGCCAGCATGGAATCCGCATCAACTGCATATCACCTTTTGCAGTCCCAACTCCTTTTACAATAAACGAGATGAGCCAGTATTATCCACACGTTGATGCTGAGCAGCTTGTGAAAATGATACATAACTTTGGTGAGTTAGGGAAAGCAACATTGGAACCGGATGATGTAGCTGATGCTGCACTCTATCTTGCATCGGATGATGCAAAATACGTTAGTGGGCATAATTTGGTGGTAGATGGAGGTTTTACATCATTTAAGAGATTGCAATTTCCTGAACCAGATAAGGTGCAGTAATTTTATAAATGCTGCCCAAAGGATACATTTTGAATAATGTGTTGTTTGTTTACTTTGAATTATGAGTTAATTGTGCGAGCCTAATTACAGTAGTTGATTGTTTGTAAAAACGTAAATTGACATTTGCGGTAAGATGGATGTGGAGTTGGAAAGAGTGGTAATCCCTTTAATTATACTTATATTTAAAATGCCGTCAGTTTATATTTTAAAGGTATTTTGGTATGTAATAATAAATAATAATGTTAAGTATGTTGGATTTTTTGCTCATGTAACTTGGTCGCCCAAATTATGTTTATATTTACAGGCCATAATTTATTAATCTAGTTGTTTTTTTCGTAGTGAAAAAAATTTTGCTGCAAAGTTGACATAGCTCGTACTTTGAGAGCGGACGCTACAAACTTGGGTGTTCTATTTTTTCTTTGCATTTGCTTTATCATGGCTTTCTGCTACAGAATTTTATCCTTAATGAGTAATGTTCCTGGAATTTATTATAGAAGGGGAATAATTAAGAAGTCAAAAGTTTCAATGAGAATGCAACTTTGTCTCATGATTCTACCATCTGCAGATTTTCCAATTTAAAAAGAAGATTTGTAGGTACAACAAATCGCAGAAAAGAGTTAGAAAAGAGTTAAAAGACAGAGTGTAACTACAAATCGAACTCGAAGCACTACCAAGTTTAATCAGCAAATAATGAGTAATTACTCTCAGGCCTTCAACCCGATCAACAACTCAACCTACAGCCGATCTATTCGTTGGATAATCAAGTTAATTGCTGCATTGGCAGACGAGAATGCGCCATGAAAACTTTCCTGATAAGAAATTGATTCTAGTTCTCTAGCCATCTTCAAAAGGATCTCACCGATGTCTGTTTGTTTCTCTAACAAAGATTGATAGTACGACCGGGCAGCAACCTTGCTGATCTCCACGTTTGTTTCCTCCGGGCAGTATTCATCATCCAACCATTTATGAAGGGTAATTCTGAGCCATTCAGATTCCTACAAATGGTATTATGATAAAGTACATAAATTAATTCTTTTAGCACTAAAGAACTTCACAATTCATTCAACAAGGCCATGAAAATTGCAAACTAAGAAATCAAATGACTTTAAGCTACGAAATGGAATCAAGTAATTTCAAGATTAGTAAAAAACAGTATTTCCAATTATGAGTAGTAAAATTAAAGTGAAATTTCAATAATGGGTACCTCCATGGCCTTGGAAGGGAGTAACCAGTGGTCTGGAACTCTCAGGTCTTGAACTAAGGTTTCTGGGTCTTGTCCTTGCTGGTTCTCTCGTGGCTCTGAAGAAGACTGAGATCTTAGAATAATGAGCGAACTTTGGGTTCTTTTGACTGGAAAATTAGGGGTTAGTATTGAAGGGGGTTTACAAATTAGCGACCGACGGAGGTTATCGGAATTTGAGATGGTAGCCGTTGCGGTTGCAAAGGAGAAACATATGGATTTCATTGCTTGGTTAATTATTCCTATTTTTCTGATGTTTGTGTTTGGGAATTCCTTGTTTCGCCAAAGTGGAAAACGGGGATAATTTCTCAGTTCAGTTGATATTGACGGGAGTTTGTCAGTTGGGAAAAGTAAATATTATCCATTGTCTTTTTGGCATAACAAGTCCTGTGAAACGACACCGTTTTGGTCTAAATTATCTCATTAATACTGGTTATAAAAGCCAACGAATAGTATATATTGGTACCCAAAAAAAAGGAAAAAAAAATTATGTATATATATTTGAACCCTAATTCAAAAGAAAAATGAATATTGAACCTTAAATGCGGGTCTTCAGCCCAAGTCCTTAAACATAGACAATCTGAAGCTGCGAGGCAATAGTGAGAGACCATTTAAAGATAGTTATAGAAGTTCTAAGCAGCAATATATATCAACAAGAAGCGTATTAGCTAAAGATACCCATTGGCCATTGCCTTATTCCATAAAATCCATTATCCATATTTGACGGACCCTAAACAAGGCGTGAAAGCTCATAATCCATATGTAATGTCCATGGCAGCATTCAGAGATGCAGTATCCATAGACTGAATCTCTTTAAAAACAACACAACTAAAAGAACAAAAATCTCCATTCATACAGTGTGCATTGGCATTATTCCTTCGCATAGGAAAGCATTAAACAGACCTTACCGATTATTTAAAAGACTTCAGCAAAGACCCTTTAGTGAGATGTTGGATTTGGTGAGCTCGGATTCAGCCTGTCGATTTCTTCCTTCGGGAGGATGACTATCCTTCGGACCTCACACTGAAATTTCCTGTAATTGCAATAAGATCTCGTTAAAGCAAATGTTATAAAAAAATTGATGACATACATTCTTTTGGGAGTTGGAGAATGGGTTGTTTTAAATAGAATTGTGTTTTGTTTTGCACTTAACTGCCATGGGTAATCTCCAATCAGCATCATGTCTCCTTCATCATCAGCATAGGTTACATGCCAGCCGCTGCTTCCATCTATCAATCTTCCTTTAAAATCAAACATGTGATCAAGCTCACAGATGAGGTCTTCATATCCATCAAATCGAGTGAGATCAACTGATCTTCCAAGAGCAGTTCCATACTTGAGCACCTAAAAGATAAAGGAATATGGTCTCAGAATCAATTTCAGAAACAATCAATGTATCGATAGTTCAGGTTGCAAAAAAGGAAAATCTGGAGAACAAAGAGCCATGATTGCTAACTCCATACGAGTATACGACATCCAACAATCAATGTGCGATTCAACTTAAACAAAGAATTACACCTAAACCTCCTCATTTAGAAACGCTTTACCCATTGAGTAACCATTCCTGTCTAGTGAAAGTTACCTGAGCATGAAGAAAAAAGAATGCAAAGCAGATGGATTTTCATTCTTGCGACCACGGAAAAAGGTGGAATTATTTAGAAAAGCAGAAGTACCTTGGTGCAACTCCGATTGCTAACAGAGCAACAGTTGTTGCAGTGCTTGCTAGATGTAACCATTGAAGGTTCTGAAACACTTGACTGAGATGTTGGATCGATGGAACAAAGACTTTCAACCTCACTAGAAGTGAGAACTTGTGGTGAAGGGAGCTCTGGTGGACCATTAACTAAATTTACTCCAAAAAGCATGTATCTGTGACCACCATTTGGTTCGTACAGTGAAGTTTCATTTTCATTGTTTAGTTCCAAATTTCTCCATTTCTGAGAATTGACATTTGGAACTTCAACTTTTCTTCTAGCAAGAGAATCATCACGAACTCCATAGGAGGAGGATGTTGGTGGCCAATTATTTTGAAGACCCAAACTTGCTACTTTTCCACCTGTAAAGAGATTTGTGCCGCTGGTAAATTGATCAAATGAATTGCAGATAGGAATCTGAACCTCTAGTTGATTCTCCATCTGCTGTTGCATTGAGGCCCAACCAGGATTTTGTGGGAGAAAATGCGGTAATGGTTGTCTTAGTGCACCCGATTGATTCGCATCTGTGTCACTATCTTCTTGACCTTGCATGACTCCTGAGCTACTTTGAGATTCATATTTGACTGAACCATGCCACATTCCTGGTAAAATGGAAATTATCGTCAGTAGCTGCAAAGACTGCCGACGATAATATAAATCTGTAAAACTAATATGATCATATTCCAGATCCAGATCTAGAGGGATCTCCTTAAACAGTCTATCTTGAATCCAGACAAGAATATAGATAACCCACCATTCATAAGCAAGCTAGAAAACCCTGGGGATGATGCATCATCAGTACGAACCCTCTTTTGTTGATGCAGAATGGAAGGTTTCTTCTTGTTAGTGAATTCCATTGGAACAATGTTCCAAGGACAAACTCTTTCAGGATGCAAAATTTCACCCGCTGTGGGATCCCATTTCACCTAAAATTGTAGAAGTTCATGAATAGATTGAATATATAAATATTAAATTAGAAATGGGTCATGCAATCATGCATGCAAAAGAGCACATGTTACCTTCAGACATCTCCATTCAGAATTGGGCCACCTAATATGATCTACATCTTCAATGCTGATGATAGTGCCGAGGGCTCTGGTTTTAAGATGAGTGCATTAGGTTAAAGGGAGTTGGGAATAACATGCTTCAAATAATCCAATAATATGCAACTAACTAGTTGTTTATTTGCTAGGTTTTGAAATACTAAAAAGGAAATTAGACCAAATTGTAGCATTATGCCATTCAGTTCTGTGAAAGATTATGATAAAATTATCCACAAATCATAGGGTGGGTACCTTTGTTCCACACATTCTTCGCCTTCAAATTGCATCCTAACTCTTGTCCCAATGCAGTAGTCAATTTCAGCAGACTTCATATACTGATCAAGTGGGATGATAAACTCAGAAGAACTTGTCCTGCAAAGATGCAAGAATTAATGCCTTGCTCTTTCAGTTCCAGTGTGAGAAGTGAAGTTTTATAATACATTGAACTTTGTGTTAGAATGTCAAAACTTACCAAGGACGGTAGTAGACAGTAAACATGCTTCTGGTAGAAAAGGCATGGAAAGCGCTGGCAAGTATGCCATGTCGCATGCTGTGGCCAGATATGACGGGTATTGATGTATTGTTCAGTAGTGTCATTGCTCGACGAACTCCGACACGAAACTCTCCATTTTCCCCTCTAGAGAACAATCATTTCTTCTTGTAATTTTTGTTTTATTCATCACTTAATATAGCATATACCATAAAACCAACATTTTAAAAAAGAAATTCCTTCATAACTTCCCAAACACTATGTCCGTGTAAGCATGCATATGATATATAGCTAGACTTATGTCTAAAACACAAAGCATGTAGGAACACAAAAAGGAAAAGCTTGTACAGAAATGTGGGCACTTTTTTTTTTTTTTGGGGGGGGGTGGGGTGGGATGGGATGGGGTGGTAGGGAGAGAGAGAGAGAGAAAGAACCTAAGAAAGATAAATGCATCCCCAGCAACTAGCTTCTTTGATGTCACAAATGTACTCCAACCACTGCTAAACAAGTGCCTTTTTGGCTGACCTACATTTGATGGGAACAAAGTCCATAAGGAAACTAACTATATGAAATAGGTTCCAAAAGAAACAAAGAATAATGCAAAATCATCCTTTCTAAAGAACATTAGGACAAGCTGCACTTCATACAACTTAATGCAAGTACGTGAAAATTTCATTCGCGAAAACTAGGGGCTTCTTTTCCTTCTTTAGCCCTTTCTATCAATAGAATAATCAGAAAGTTTCAACCAATAGCCCAAATTTAAGTTAGTATTTCAATAATCATGGCACTCAACCTAAGTGCTTGAACAATCTTCGTCTATAAGTACTATGTTACTTTAAGACAATATGTGGATATTTTTGAGACATCCATAGTTACTTTCTTGGTGCAATGAGTTGATCATGGTAATGCTTAAATATCCCAGGTTTAAAATGTAGATTAGTGGTAGAAAGATTATGGTACCACGAAAAATATGGCGAAAGCACCACTCAAAACCATGCAAGTCTATTGCGACCAATTCCTGCTGTGGGGTTTGCTGAGACATGTCCTGCAACAATATGGATAACTTAATAATTCATGAATGATATGGCCTGTTCAGATCAGTTAAGACTTCCCTGATGCGGTAAAACCGGTTCCACAAGTGAAAGAATCGTGCAGAAAACCATAAATATATAAGCCTGAAGACTGGAAGACACGAGTCTGCAGGCTATTTCTTTTCCACAAATAATTTGATTACATGGTGGACTACCAAGTTACATGATTCTGCACCCTTTGTTTGAAGAACAATTAGTTTTAAGCAGCTTCTTAAATGTCAAGTATCTAATCTTCAAAACTTCAAAAGTATTATGTTTTGAACATGAATGCACAAAAAAGACAAAAGAATCACATAAAAATACCAACCAGGGGTGGAAGACACCCATCATCAACATGTCGCTTTGGAATAGAGAATCCACCATGTGTGCTTGTATCAGATGGAGTCAGTTTCTTACTAAAGAACCGTGAATAAGCATTCTGAGGTAAAGCTTGATAATTTCTATGCTCCACACTTAGCTCATCTTGCTGTTAAGGCAGGAAAAAAGCATTAATCATACAAAAGATTTAGGAAAAAAATGAACGTGAACTGAATCTAGTTGCTACATCATCTGAATGCATCAAGCGAATTCCCCTCATTTGGAAAAGAAAAAGGATAATTACCTAGGGTGAGTCTAAAGCAAAGTAAATAAAATAAAGAAACTCTTAGCATCTTAACGTATATCTAACCTCTGCCTCAGGAAGTAGCACAATTTGTGCAAAGACCTCATCTGTACCAGGTTCTGCCTGAAATGACGCAATGAAGCATTATAAACAACTTATAATGAGCTTGCATAGTTACATGCACACAACTAATTATAACCTCCCGAAAGGGTAACCCGTCCATTTTTTCCAATTAAAGTCACTAGGAGACAATAAAATGTACATTTGCGGGGGATACCTTAAGCAGAACATGCACCACTCTGCAGAGGATCTTAGAAGGTAAATTGTAGATGGGCATTTCCATTGTCCCATCTTCCTTCATATATGCCTCGACCTGCATCAAAAGCTTAATCATCAAATATACAAATGAATACACAAGCAAA